ATTGTCAAGTAAAGAGACGGTGACCCAGGTCGTGACTTCACTACCATATATCATGTCACATCATGTCACTTGTCACGCTTCCGAGTATCATTGTGGGGGACCTAAACACTCGCGAAGGAACTACCGCCATTAATAAACGTCATGCTGGGATAACGTACTTACAACCACGCGTTTCATAAGAGTTTTGGATTATACACAGATAAAACAATACGTGGTTTCATGAGTAATGACGGGATTATTCTTCCTCTAGGACCGTAAGAAGTTCTGATCAAGCTTTACGTAGAACTTCCTCCATCCTAAAAGTGCAGTCTACTGTCATTGCACGCTCTGAATACAAACGTTTTGTTCACAGCTTTGAAGTTGATAATATGTGCCTGAAAGTATTTGACACTATTATTCTGTCGGACAACAAAGTGACAAGGTTATGTTTAAAACATATGAGATTATGTTTTTTGCTTGTAACGTTGTTTGGACGTGTCGAAGTAACGCTAGCTATTACGCAACACATTGCGGTCACACATTCGTAGCCAAGTAACTTGGCTTGTTTAATACCTTGGCCATTTCTTCTCCAAATGTTTCAAAGAAAGAAAATCAAATCTAACGACATAACACCGTGAAAGCTCTGTTTACCACCGGATATCTTCTTATTATTATTGTTGTTGTTGTTGTAAGTATATCTACATGTATTTCAGGCAAGTATGATGTGTTGTGTGTCTCGTAGGTCGAGCGGCCGGCCATTGTCATACTGGTAACCAATGCACTATATGAACAAATAATAAACTAATTCTTGTAATTAGACTGACATTTTTACTGTAACATGGGGTTTATAAAGCACGGATTGATGCTCATAATGTCAATCACTGGATTGTCTTGTCCAGACTCGATTTTTTACTGACCGCCGTCATGTAGCTGGAATAGTGCGGCGTTAAACAAACAAACAAACAAACCACATAGTCACATGATACAACATGTAGATCCGTGTGCATTAATTGCAAAGTAGAACTAACATTCAAAATATTTCGTATATAAGTCAGTGTGTCAATGAGGTGTACTGATAAACTCGGATAGATGATCTTCAAGTGGGGGCGCACGTACGTACGCACACACACACACACACGCACGCACACACACACGCACGCACGCACGCAAGCACGCACAACCGACACGCGCGCGCGCGAATTTTGATAGATCTTGTTTAACACTGTTTGCATTTTCGTTTTAGTAGAAATTAATTGGATGAAGACTGACTGGCTGAAAATATATATATGGATTATGAAATAATTTAAGCAATGCTACAATACATTAACTAGTCACAACCAACACCATCTTGGATACAATTTATCACATCTTCACCATCATCACATCTTGTGGTATATCCCAGGTTGAAAGTTAGACCTACCTACCTTTACTGCATGGTATCCACAGACCAGGTATATTATCCTACGCCAGGAGCGAAAGTTCTCAACAAATATCTGACGACTGGAAAGGCACAACCTCCAACTCGAACACTGGAAAGGCTAAGACGATTACACGTGACGTTTTCTGTTTTGACTGCCGGCATTGTTTGTAACCTGAATAATCAATGGACGAGTTTATATTTATCGTACACAAAATGAATCAAAGGGAGATAAGTGAATTTGTGTAAGGTAAAACCACATTGGCACTAAAAGCCTGAAGAGATTTCGATTTGTAACACTGAATTGAATGTGTCTAAGGGAGGTAACTGTTGTGGTGTTACTAACTAGTCGGCTTTATGCATCTTTAATGCATGGTGTGTAGGGTACGTACCTTCACAGCTAATGACGTATAGTCAGTTATTGATCGCAGCCTTGGATTTTATACGCAGGTAGGTTGTCTTAGTGACTGAGTGATATGTAGGTTCCGTTTGAAGACACATAGCATACTAATAAAATCCTTTGTTTCCAAGTACAAAATGATCTATCTCATGCAGTCTTCCACCTGTGGGTGTTGAGACTTTCGACGTCATTTTACTGTACTGAAACAGTCCGCTGACACGCCTCATATCAAAGTGCACGATTATCACGTGCAGCACGAGCATACTGTCACGCGCTGACTGATTCCATTTGCTGGTTTGGAAGGCTTGGGATTAAAACTTCAACTGTTTTGTGAACAGTTATAAATCGGCAGCATTATGAATATTTTAATATCTTATCGTGGAGCATGTTGGTTTGTTGTTTAACGCCGCACTCAGCAATATTCTAGCTATATGACGGCGGTCTGTAAATAATCGAGTCTGGACCAGACAATCCAGTGATTTATATCATGAGCATCGTTCCACGCAATTGGGCGTATTCTTACAAGTGAGACGACTGGGCCACACGAAATTCTAGGAGAAGTTTCAGAAGTCGATGGTGGTAAAAGTAAAGATAGCATTAAAACGAAGAGTTCAAGGCTGATGGTTGGAATTAGTTGTGAGGCTCGGCTATTCCAATATCGGGGGATTTCTCCAGGATTTCACACTGTACCAGAACATATATATACACTTGGTGATCAACACCAATAGGGTGGAGAACCCGTGATCTATCCCCGTCGAGTGGTCGGGTAGCCATGTGGTTAGAGCGTTCGTTCGTCACGCCGAAGACCCGGGTTCGATTCCCGACATGGTTACATTGTGTGAAGCCCATTTCTGGTGTCCCCCGCTGAGATATTGCTGGAATATTGCTAAAAAGCGGCGTAAACCACACTCACTCACTCACTCACTCACTCACTGTCCCAGGAACACATATAACATTGGTTTATGTAACACATAAATAACACTTTGAAAAGTTTGGTCGCCAGAGTTTTGTCCCTTTAATTTCAAGTTCAATAGTGTTAATATATGAGATTTTATGTGTGGATCTCTTATTTTGGTGACTGTTCAATTGTTTGTTTGTTGTTTAACGCCGCATTCAGCTATATGACGGGGGTCTGTAAATAATCAAGTCATAACCTGACAATCCAGTGATCGATATCAAGAGCATCGATCCACACAACTAAAGGGTTCGGTGGTCAGGCTCGCTGACTTGGTTGATGCATGTCATCGTATCCCTCTTGCGTTGATCGATGCTTATGAATTCAATCACTGGATTGTCTGGCCCAAACTCGATTATTTACAGACCGCTGTCATGGAGTTGTAATATTGCTGAGTGCGGCGTTAAACAACAAACACTCACTCACTCACTCACTTACTCTTTAAACGACTTGATACTATCAACATTCATTTCTGAACAGCCTTTATCCTACACTCTCCTCGTCGCAACACTTTCATATTTCCGTCGCAGAAACCTCAGATTTTTTACCATTTTCGTCCTGAAAATTAAAAAAACGAATTCGATTTAGTTTACTGTGAGTTTGTATTTGTTTTCACCGTAGTCAGCAATATAAGTTTATCATGGAGGTCTGTTACGTGTGAGTGAGTTAAAAAATTTAGTCACACCGGCAATATTTCAGCCATATCGTGACTATCAAGGATTCAACATACTAATTGAATCTTATCTAAAATCATGCCAACGAAGTGCAGTAGGTCTGTTGCGAAGTGAGTTTGGGCAAAGCAAAACATTTCACCCCAAGTCATCATGCAACGACACCAATCAGATCATATTTACAGCTAATAAACTCAAGACGAATTTCCTTAAAACCACCATAAACATATTTACTTTCTGAAAACAAGGAAAGTATCAATTCAGCTTGTGCCATGTGGGTTATTCACCCTGTTTCCCTGGTAACGGTCTGTGATAACGAGGCCACGCTGTGATTGGACGTACGCTCTGCCCCCCAGTGGGAATACGTGACTCCATGTTCGAGCAGGCCCCAAGCATCCAGTTCTTGTCCTAAATGTGGATTAGCTGGTCACAATGGGTTATCTAGCTGCTAATGTATCATCATGCATAGGAAAAGTCGGGTAGTCTAGTGGTTAAAGCATTTGCTCGTCGCGTCTAACTTTCGAGTTCGATTCAAGCCATGGGTACAATGAGTGAAGCCATTATGTGTGTCCTGCGACCGTTATGAATTTAAAACTATTTTAAAAAACGGCGTAAAATCGAACTCTTTCACTGTTCGTAACGAAACTGCTTGTCTATAAAAAAAACACTGGTTCGTCTGGAAAAGAATCTATTATTCCCTGGTCGGCGTGAAAAAGCCGGATATAGCGCGATATAATGTTATTTTCTCCTTAAATTTCTATCATTCAATTTTTATAAAACAAATTGTGTGAATGTTAATTGTAACAAATCGGAACTTATAGAAATAATTATGACATGGGTCCACATGCACAAAACAATCTTTTCACTACGACAGTCATAAGTGAGTGATGTGAGGAGAAATGGGGTTTAACGTCGCGTCCATGAATATTGCACATATATAGCGACGTGCACGTGTGTGTGTGTGTGTGTGTGTGTGTGTGTGTGTGTGGCTGCTTGTAGTCCGGACTGATGCCGGTTTTAAAGTGCCAGCCCACCATGCCGCAGTTTAAGATGGATACCCCACTCAGACACAGTATACTGCCTACGTGCCGACCAGTCCTTGTTTTATCCCCTTAATGCCGAGCGCCAGGCGGGGTAACAACCAATACCGTGTTTCAACGTCTTTTGGTATGACGCGGTCCGGGATCGAACCCCGAACTTCCGTTCTCCGGGCGGGCGCTCCACCCACTACACCACGGAGGCGGTCCTGTGCGTAAATCCAGGGTAGGGGAGCTACGATTGTCGCAGTCTACGATTGTTTGTCTCAAAAGGACCCCGTTAGTAATTACAGCCAAGGGACGCCACCTTTGTTCAAAAGCCCAGGTGGACAATACCAGCAGATTGATTTCAGCTTTGCGTTATTGAATTATAAAACAGAGAAATAGTAGCGGATTGTTTGCATTGTGTTTCTGATTGTCGCCGTCAGACAACTGATAGCGAGATTCAATGGCCTGCGTTTGTTGTCTTGAATGGTTACTATAGGTCTACGTTTACCGAGGGAGGTGAAAGTAACAGCATCTTAACCCGGATGAGCAAAGCATTAACCGTACAAATCAATCGATGAGGTTGATATGGATCGAATGACTTGCATTGACGTTCTGCGATAGCATTCCCAATACAAGCTGATTACCGATTGTGTATATGGTCGGGGTTGGATTCAGTGCTACTTCTGGCCTAGCGGTCGATGGTTAGATGATTCACAGATTCTACCTAAATATAAATTCAGTTCTTCTGTTGACTCGTCAAGTGTTGAATCGTGATCAGTGGAGCAGAGGCACAAGGTTGACTGAACCCTACTGGTTTAATTGATTCTCTCAGTCGTGCTAACGCGGTGAACCTGTTTGGACCAAAAACATTAGACAGCTTCGCGAAGTACACCTTCTTAAAATGGACTTGACTCAATACGATACCCGGAAGAAAATTGGAAGCCAGGAAGTCTCGTTCATGACACGAGACAATTAGCTGACAGTGAACAACAGCCACACCAGGATTGCATTGTGAAAACAGTTCAAAGGTAACCAGCATGCGTATTCAAATACCAATTCAAGTGAGAAAATAAACAAAAGGATTCACTGCGATCTATTTCCTATTATTGCTGTCGCCTAGCAGGTACGCCCCCCGATGCGTGACTACACGTAATCGATCTGTAACAGGGAAGTAACATTCGGCGATTAAGACAGACAGCAGCGAGGAGAGGGTAAAGGTGGACCATGCAGTGGATTCTCTAGCACTGTTATATTTGTACGTGTATTGGGGAGTTGCTGTTGATGTCGTCATGGATACCTTCATCTTCCACGTGGTTACAGCGTTCATGATGGTGATGGTGATGGATCTACGTGATTTGAAATCAATGGTTACAGGTAGATATGTCTTGTACGTTAGTGTAGGCCCAATATTCCTATGGCGTAAATGTGACTTTTGTTTTCTTTGTTTGTTTGTTTTTTTGTTGCTTAACGCCGCACTCAGCAATATTACACTGATATTAAACCTTGATATTAAGACATTGATATTATTACAGCTATATGACGGCGGTCTGTAAATAATCGAGTCTGGATAAGACAATCCAGTGATTGACATCATGAGCATCGATCCACGCAATTTGGATCGATGACATGCATCAACCAATTGCAAGTCAGCGAGTCTGACCACCCGATCCCGTTAGTCGCCTCTTAGCAAGCATGGGTTGCTGAAGACCTATCCTCCCCCGGATCTTCACGGGACATGAGTTTGGTATTTGTCATGTTTTATTGCTAGGTATAAATGTACCAACTTGGAAGCAAAATATATATTAGTTACAACAAATTTTTGATATATCGAAATACACACCGCTGTGTAAGTTTCCATAACACCTAAAGAGCCATTGAGCGGCGAAAGATCTTGTGTGCATTAAGGAATTTAAACAAGCACAAATATTCGGACATAAATATGTTATAAAACTCACTATTATAACTATACAGTGATTCATATTACTAGTTATATATTTCTTATATCAAGGTTTATTATCAGTGTATAGTGACTGATATCAGCTGTTTGGTATATACCTTATTAAATGTATATATTCATATTAATAGATAAGTCTTTATGTAACAAATTGATGTCTTGGATGGAGTTTGTTATACAGTGAGTGAGTGAGTGAATATGGTTTTACGCCGCTTTTAGCAATATTCCAGCAATATCACGGCGGGGGACACCAGAAATGGGCTTCACACATTGTACCCACGTCGGGAATCGAACCCGGGTCTTCGGCGTGACGAGCGAACGCTTTAACCACTAGGCTACCCGACCGCCCCTTGTTATACAGAGGTATTGGTAGTATTAAGGATATTAAACTTTTACGATCTACTGATACTCAAGTCATGGCTTCTGTGTATCTTAGGTAATGTATGATTATATATCCCATAGTGTTGCTGAAATAAGTTTAGCCAACGTCTAGATGACAAGAACAGCCATAATAGTTATGATTGCAACATCAATCGATGAATGGACGCGTGGAGATCCGGGGTAGAATAGGTTTTCAGCAACCCATGCTTGCTGTAAAAGGTTACTATGCTTGTCGTAAGGGGCGAGTAACGGGATCGGGTGGTCAGACTTAATGACTTGGTTGATGCATGTCATTGATCCCAATTGTGTACATCGATGCTCATGAAGTCGATCACTCGATTGTCTGGTTCATATTCGAATATAAACAGACCGCCGTCATATAGCTGGAATATTGCTGAGTGCGGCGTCAAACAACAAACAAACAAACATCAGTCGATGAATTACAACATTTAAGTTCCCGGTAATGAAATTGCAGGAGGAAATATCCGCCTTTACGTTATCAACAGGTTGTTAAAGTTTATAATATGAACATTGAAATTGCTAGCATCAAACCAATTATAAGTGACTAAGTAACGTCCTTGTTTAACGCAATGCGCTCATTTTGTTGGATTTAGTTTTATGGGGATTTGGTCACACGAATATAGGGTACGGTCCTGTTATAGAATACTCTAGCTCCACCCCATGCCAACAGAAGTAGAGATGTTCAATGAATATTGATTCCATGTTTAAAGGGGCGGTCGGGTATCCTAGTGGTTAAAGCGTTCGCTCGTCACGCCGAAGACCCGAGTTCGATTCCCGACAAGGGTACAATGTGTGAAGCCCATTTCTGGTGTCCCCCTGGTGTTGTTTGTTTGTTATTTAAAGCCGCACTCCGGAATATTCTAGCTATATAACTGCGATCTGTAAATAATCGAGCCTGGACCAGACAATCCAGTGATTGACATCATGAGCATCGATCCACGCAATTGGGATCGATGACATGCATCAACCAAGTCAGCGACCCTGACCACCCGATCCCGTTAATCGCCTTTTACGACACAAGAATAGTCGCCTTTTACGGCAAGCATGGGTTGCTGAAGACCTATTCTACCCCGGATCTTCACGGGTCATGGGAGATATGTAAGAACATTCTCGACCTTCAATAGCGATCTCGTGTTAGGGGAGATTTACAAGCGTGTGTACATGTTCACCAGCTCGAAGTCGTCGTAGTTGACAGGTTGGTGGGCATTAAGTCATTGATCAAACATTGCTACCCGACATGAAATATGACAGTTTGACACAGAACAAACATCCTTAGTTCATGTAAATATTGCATGGGAGAAGGAAAAGAAATAGTACAAACAAAATATACTATGATTTAACGTGAGGTGTCATTAATGCAACATGGTTTTTTTTAAATGGGGTGTATTAACGTGGCATGTTATCAACGTCAGTTGTTCTTAACGTGTCATGTGATCAATGTCAGTTGTTCTCAACGTGTCAACTTATCAACGTCTATTGTTCTTAACGTGTCATGTTATCGACGTGAATTGTTCTTAACGTGTCATGTTATCAACGTCAATTGTTCTTAACGTGTCATGTTATCAACGTCAGCTGTTCTCAACGTGTCATGTTATCAACGTCAATTGTTCTTAACGTGTCATCTTATCAACGTCAATTGTTCTCAACGTGTCATCTTATCACCGTGAATTATTAACGTGTCATCTTATCAACATGAATTATTAACGTGTCATCTTATCGACGTGAATTATCAACGTGACATGTTTTCATTGCGAATTAACGTTAAATGCTATCAACGTGCATTGTTATCAATGTAACGTTATCAACCTGAATTGATATTAACGTGCAATGCTATTAACGTGAATTGTTAGAATGTAGATATTTCACCAATAACAACCTGTTGCAGTTTATAGATAAAACGAAAACAGCTGACCTACATGTATGTGTATATGTACCTTTAATATATATCTATCTAGTTCAGACTCTCCTTCCTCTGTTTCACTTCGCTTAATCTGTCCTTTATTTATTTCTGCCTTTTCTTCCTGCCATCCTGTGTGTGTGTGTGTGTGTCAGTGTGTGTGTCTGTGTGTAGGTCTGTGTGTGTGTGTGTGTGTGTGTGTGTGTGTAGGTCTGTGTTTGCGTGTGTGTGTGTAGGTCTCTGTGTGTGTGTGTGTGTGTGTGTAGGTCTGTGTGTGTGTGTGTGTAGGTATGTGTGTGTGTTGTGTGTGTGTGTGTAGGTCTGTGTGTGTGTGTTGTGTGTGTGTTGAGTGTGTGTGTGTGTGTGTGTGTGTGTGTGTGTGTGTGTGTGTGTGTGTGTGTGTGTGTGTGTGTTGAGCCAGGAAGTCCAATTACCACACCTCAAATACATAGCACGTATCAATGTGTTGTTAAATTTACGTTCGTATTTTTCATGCATGATTTACTCATAATAGATCCTATCAGTTGTTTACTGGTTGCTAGGAAACCACGACAACATCTGTTTACGATGGCTTGCGAAATTACCTCCTCGTTAGTGACGGGTATACGAACACCTATGGGCAGCATACTAAGACGAAAGAGCTCTTCACCGGTGTTCCATGGCCAGATAGTGATATTTTCATGTTTGTAGATTCGTACAGTGTATCGTCGATTGATATACAAGATGAAATGAATTGTTCAAATATACACTGAACACCAATAGGGGTATATCACGTCTCGATATTTACAGTCAGCTGAACAGGCAGTTGCGTGGTGTAAATAGAGGCCATCACGCGAGTGTGTTGAGGGATGGTAAATATCCTGTATTAGGAAAAAAAACATTCCTTTGCATTTAGCCAGCCTTGGCTTTATCGTGCCGAGATAATATAATGATAACATCATATATACAGATATTACTCAACCTTTGATTGGGGTTTTCCGTTAAATCCGTGATCCACCGAAATATTGCTATGCTACCGGCAGGGCAGGACGTGCTTATCCTTTTTACGAACACCTGGCGCCATTCCTGATTTTGAGTAATACATTCAAGAAGTTTCCATCGCTATTTTGCTGTTTTGTCGGATAACCGAGATAGTTTTTCTCTTGTGTTGACGTTTTAGATTGATGGACGTGGGTGAGGTGAGATGAACTGGGGTTTAATGTCGCGTCAAAGATTATTACGCTTATATACTAGTCCGGACTGGTGCCGACTTTATAGTGCTGGCCCGCTGAGATACCATGCCGCAGTTTAACATAAATACCCCACTCAGACAAAATATTCCGAGACTTAATGCCGAGTGACATGCAGGGTAACAACAAGTAACATCTTTTAACGTCTTTTGGTATGACGCGGCTGGCGATCGAACCCCGGTTTGTGTTTCTGAGGTACCCCTTGGGTCAAAGTGGGGATACACTCGAATAGGAGCTCGAGTGGCCCAGTCGTCAAAAGCGCCAAAATTTGCAGTGCAGAGTTGCGTCCCTAAGTCGTGCCAGAACCCTATGAACGAGAGCTCGAATCCCTGTTCGCCGCGATGTTTCCAGGTTTGTCAGTACCACATGCTCGTTGGTTTCGTTTATGACATCATCTTGGGCTTTCCTCCCACATGAAGAGACCCGTGAAGATCCGGGGTAGAATAGGTCTTCAGCAACCCATGCTTGCCGTAAAAGGTGACTATGCTTGTCGTAAAAGGCGACTAACGGGATCGGGTGGCCAGGCTCGCTGACTTGGTTGATACATGATATTGTATCCCAATTGCGTGGATCGATGCTCATGATATCACTCACTGGATTGTCTGTTCCAGACTCGATTATTTACAGACCGCCGTCATATAGCTGGAATATTGCTGAGTGCGGCGTTAAACAACAAACAAACAAACAAACAATCCCACATTTAGCTATTCACCGTTGAATAATAGTTGAATAAACTCACTTATTCGATTGCATGCTGGGGGCACGCGTGGCCAAGTCGTCTAAGGCGCCGCGATTCGCTGTGCAGAGTTGCGTCCCTTTGGCACACCAAAAACCTATGATTGTGGGTTCGAATCCCGGTTCGCTCCGATAATGTTTCTAGGTTTGTCAGCACCATACCCGTGCTCTTCAATCATGTCAATTACATGGCAATATCCAAACTACTTGTGTGACAACACCGACGTATTGATCTGGCCATAGAGGACATCAGCAGTCGATTAATACATTTATTTATTAACAATTGTGCACATCCTTCAGGCACCAAACTTACAGAGACCATCCTCAACTACCAACCTCTGCACTACGACCACCACCATCTCCACCAACAACATCATCGTTCCAAAAGAGCAGCTCAGCCAGATGTCAATCTTCATTTTGCAGCTTTTGGGAGGTAATATCCTTGTACATGTGGATAGACTGAATATTACGGAAGCCGTTTAGGGCCACTTTTGTCTTCTTTTTTTACTGAAATTTCAAGATACATACGTTGACATTTCAAGTTAAAATCTAAAATCTCAACTTATTATTTTGAAATTACAAGATTCTAAGATGAAATTTAAAGATGCTATACTGAAATTTCAAGATGCTCATTTGAAAATTCAAGATAATAAGTTAAAATTTTAAGATTTTACCGAAACAAATGGCCCTGAAAGGCTTCCGTAAAATATTAAACTCAGTATACAATTATTGCAAAACAGGAACAAAAATATAAACAAGACGCAAACAAAAGTAAATTTATAAATGTGTATCGAACGATTTATCCTCGGCTCTCCAGGCAGACGCCCGATCCACTGGACCAAGGAAGCAGTCAATTCACGAAATATAATAAGTATATTAAATATGCTGAAAGCCACCTTGATCTGCCAGACTTCGATGTTTAGTTATTTTCAATAATCAGTTTTGGAAACAATCGAGGTTGTTGGCATGGCATACAGCGCGCTGTTCAGTTTGTTTGATTGTTTGTTTGTTGTTTAACGCTCCACTCAGCAATATTCTAGCTATATGACTGTAAATAATCGAGTCGGGAACAGACAATCCAGTGACTGACATCATGAACAACAATCCACGCAATTGGGATACGATGACATGCATCAACCAAGTCAGCGAGCCTGACCACCCGATACCGTGAGTCGCCTTTTACGACAAGCATAGTCGCCTTTTACGGCAAGCATGGGTTGCTGAAGACCTGTTCTACCCCGGATCTTCACGGTACACAACATCCGTACAAGGCGTCGTACTGCAATGTTTATCAAACGTGTTTACTCGTGTATTTTATCATGAACTGGTCGTTTTACCTCAGTACGTTGGTAGTTAAAATCAATTTATTGTATTGTGTGTCTTTTGGGGGTCAAAAACCTGCTCGTATATGTAGTTATTTGGGGCATGGCTGTTCAATTGGTAAAGAGCCAGATACAAAAATCGATCGACGAACACCTGATCCTGACACAACAAAGGAACGCAACTCTGCATAACGAATTGAAGCGACTAAGACCACTGTCACCTGTGTCCACAACATGTGTTACAAAAAGCAATGGTAAATGACCCACTTCAAAAAATATGTTTCAGAGATTTCAACATAACACTGCGACGAGACACTGATCTCTTCAGTCAGCACATACAGATTGAGACGACGAGCGGTCACGTGCCTTACGATATCAGCCGAGCATATAACGGAAATCTCCGAGAGGATTATGGTAACTCACAGCTTCTTTTGGTCTCGAGCTCTTGGTTTATTTTTTCTAATGTTTCAAATGTTCTTCTGAATAAATGTTCTTCTAATTTTTCTTCTAATGTTCATATTTGTTCATGATTTGGAACTATTAACCACAAAATTTGACATCATGTACATGGAACTGATATAATATTTCACAATGGCTTCTAAATGTGGGACCGCCTCCGTGGTAGAGCGTCCGCCCGGAGAGCGGAAGGTCCGGGGTTCGATCCCCGGCCGCGTCATACCAAAAGACGTTTAAAAGATGGTAGTTGTTGTTACCCTGTCTGGCGCTCGACATTAAGGGGCTAAAACAAGGACCGGTTGGCTCGGAGTCAGTATACTGTGTCTGAGTGGGGTATTCATGTTAAACGTTAAACTGCGGCATGGTATCTCAGTGAGCTGGCACTATAAATCGGCATCAGTCCGGACTAGTACAAGCAGCCACACACAAACACGTGCATGCACGTCGCTATGTAAGTGCAATAATTTTGGACGCGACGTTAAACCCCATTTCACCTCACCTCTAAATGTGGATTTTTATTGGGTCGTATTGACGAAATGTTATGATTAATAATTACTCCTATGGAAGAGAGGTGAGGCTTTCGCAGTGGCTTCAAATTGTGGATCATTTCTAAACGTATTTAAGGAAAGTACAAACAATTACCACTTTGATGAAATAAAAGCGACAAAACTTTGAAGGCAAAGTCCATTGTACGATTCCGACTGAATCATGAGCCTGTGTTAATGAATTACTATCAAATAGTGATGACACCAGGTGTTCGCGAAAAGGTGGGGGTATCCTGCCCCACCGGTGATGCGAACACAAGGGTGATATACGGGAGGAGAGTTGTGTCGCCCTACAATTTTGAGTGACCACTACAGTCTAATATGATTTAATTCAATTTTAAGTTTTCAATGTATATATGTTTACAGTTGGATATGGCTTCAAACCAACAGTTAATGGCCTTATTACCACCACGGGGCATTTTCAAGGAACTATTGACACGGGGGAAGAATTTTATGTTGTTGAGAAAGCTAAGAAATATTTCAAAGAACCTCAGGATTTCCATTCTGTGATATACAGAAGGTCCGATGTGAAGTTCGACGTGGACAGTGCTTTCTGTGGAGCCGAGAAGCACAGGGAACGTTTGTTTACAATTCAGCAGAGTGCGACGAGGAAGTCCAACGAAGGCCACAACGAAGATAAAGGAAAGACGACGTACGATTGGTCGAAAGATAACGACACGCATTCTGATTGGTCGGAAAAATATTTACATTATGATCATAAAAGACAGAAGCGAGATATAGTTCCGACTAAAACCACGTGCGAACTGTACATGCAGGCTGATCACGTGATATTTCAACAACACGGAAGTGACGTCGACAGTCTTATCGAAGAACTCTCACAGAGTGTACAAACAGTTAATGCCATATATGGTGCTATAGGTAAGTTTGCATTTCAACTGATTCCTGTCATGCAATGTCTGAATTTTTTAACAATATTTGTCACTGATACCCTTCCCCTGATGGTAATTTAAAATGTAATTACATATTTTAATTTGTTTTATCAATCAATACAATGCTATGGGTTGATGTAATGGAATCTTTCACTTCGTGTCCCTGACATCATGGTGATATTGGTTTGCAGAATAGGACACAATAAGACAAGGAATGTAAACAACAATACAGGCAAAACAACCACCCTGTTATGGATTTTGTAACTTCAGTATCATAGTCAGTGTGTGACGGTGTGAGTCTTGATTTACGCCGCTTTTAGCAATATTCCAGTCATGTCATGGACGAGGATGGAGGAAGGGGGGAGGGGAGGGGTAGAGGCGCACCAGAAATGGCTTTTACATATTATCAAATTTCTGTAGGGAACAGAACGCTGGGGCCAATAGGGCTGAAATAGTCAAGAAGCGCCGTAAAAAAAACCACTCAGAATAACTATCATGCGTTTAGATTTTGACGGCGACAGCAGTGCCGACAACATCAACTTCATCATCAAGAAGATTAAGGTGCACACCAACACCAGCGACCCGACGTACAGACTGAACGGCAACTACGGCGTGGAGAAGTTCCTGGAACTCCACTCGCAGGAGAATTACGACAGCTTCTGTCTGTCCTACATGTTCACCCACAGAGACTTCGACGGCGGGGTGCTGGGGCTGGCGTGGACAGCCGGGGAGGGCCAGTCGGGTGGCGTGTGTGAGAAATATACGGTAAATGCTGGATTAAACCTAATTTGTGCTCAGGTTTAATCCTAAAATAAATCGCTCAGCTGTCGTGCTGGATGTTCTGAAACACAGTGCTCGGATTCCCATTTCACAGAAATAAACATATATATCCCCCACCAGGAGGAAAGTACGGAACTCTTTTAGGGCCCATTTTATTTCGATACTATCTTGAAATTTCAAGATCCTAAGTTGAAATTTCAAGATACTAAGTTGAAATTTCAAGATACTAATTTGAAATTTCAAGATAATAAGTTGAAATTTCAAGATAACAAGTTGAAATTTCAAAATAGTATCTTGTATTCCAAGATAGTATCTTGAAATTTCAACTTAGTATCTTAAAAAACACATGGCCCTGAAAGGCTTCCTTAGGAAAGGGATCTCGTAGATGAAAAATCACATTCTAACTTTTCACTATATTTCAAAACTGCAGAATCTCCAAATATAAATAAATACAATTCACAATCAAGCTTCAATTCATATTAATTACAGAGATACATGACATCAAATATTTTAACTTTTATAGTTCAGGCAATATTTGCAGTTTTTAGACATAATGTCTGATGAATTGAAATTGAAATTAGATATGTATGCTGAACGGTATTTAAATGATGTTTTTATTACATTACGAACTAACAAGAGGAAAAAAGATTTTTTTGTACAGTCCGCACACACAGAGATCTTCACTGAAATAAGTTGACGTCAAACGTCACAGCACGGTTGTATCCCGGCACCCATAAGGGTCCTTGAGGCTCACATATCTTGAACCGTTGGTTACAGTAATCTTTCTTGAAAGTTACTGAGAAATATATATCGACGCGAAACTGTCATAACGAGAGCATTTTACAATATCTACCTTCCATGGCATATAATGCAACATGAACTACTGACAACACAAACAGTGTGTCACTCTCGTAAAGTTTGCATGCATGATTATGATGTACACTGCCGAGTAAAAGAAAGTATACACTTAAAAGTTGGATTTGACCCCACGGTAATAAACGTTCTCAAAACATAACTGGGCTGAAAACAGTCGCCGAAACACTGCAAACTTAAGGTCCAAAACACAACTAGTGAGTGAGTGAGTGAGTTGGGTTTAACGCCGCTTTTAACAGTATTCCAGTTATATCACGGCGTGTCAGCTTAATGTGGGAGGAAAGCCCGAAGTGATGCAGGTCTTAGACGTTTACCACTTCGGTGAAACCCACGAGCACGGGTATGGTGCTGACAAACCTAGAAACATAATCGGGGCGAACCGGGATTCGAACCCACAATCATAGGTTTCTGGCATGCCCAAGGGACGCAACTCTGCACAGCGAATCGCGGCGCCTTAGACGACTGGGCCACCCGTGCCCTCCCCCCCCCCCCCCCCCCCCCCCCCCCCCACCAAAAAACAAACAAACAAACAAAAAAACAAAAAAAAACACAAAAAAAAAACACAACTATGATATCCGTATCAAATACATCACCATAGAATAACTATGTCTTCTTTGTTTCCTGTTGAGCCACAATAAAACATGGGCGTATACTTTCTTTTGCCCGGCTGTTTATAAATTCAAGAGAAAAACCATCAAAATGTGTTCCAAATGAACGTGAAATGATGGGAGCAGAATCACGAATTTGTGACATGTGATGTCAATAAATCTCCCTATAGTCAAGGACCCTGAAGATCCGGGGTAGAATAGGTCTTCAGCAACCCACGCGTGCCGTAAAATGCGACTATGCTTGTCGTAAGAGGCGACTAACTGGATCTGGTGGCCAGGCTCGCTGACTTGGTTGATGCATGTCATCGTATCCAAACTGCGTGGATCGATGCTCATGATTTCAATCACTGGATTGTCTGGTTCAGACTCGATTATTTACAGACCGCCGTCATATAGCTAGAATATTGCTGAGGGTGGCGTTAAACAACAACCAAAGCAACAAACAAGTTGTCGCTATATGGCTGGAATAATGTCGATGCGACGTTAACTTTTAACTCACTCACTATAGTCAAGTAGAACTCGTACAGTTTCTCTTCCCAGGCGTTTTCTCAAGGGAGGCTCAGCCTGAACAGCGGCATAGTGACGACACTCAACTACGGCAAGACGGTGTCCACGTTGGTCAGTCAGTTGACCTTCGCCCACGAGATCGGCCACAACTTTGGCTCTCCGGTAATTATAATTTGTTTGTATGTTTGTTTAACGTCGCATTCAGCAATTCCAAAACTATATAACGGCTGCCTGTAGATAGTCGAATCTGGACCAGACAATCCAGTGATTGATATTATGCGCAACGATCCGCGCCGTCAGTTTACGTTGATATGCCATCCACCAAGTCTTTAAATCTGACCACCTGATCCAGTAAGATACCCCTTTCGACCAACATAGGGGGACATATTGTGACCGGAATTCAGTCGGTAAATATAGGTCATAGACAAAATCTTTCAATGAAGTGTTAAGAATATTTTTGGACGCCCAAACTATCGATCTCGATGTGTCTTTTGAAATTCGACTTTCCAGCTTGAAGTCGTTAAAAGATGGAAATGTCGTTAACTTCACACAGCTTTCACACTGCAGATTTTTAACTTTTAGAAGACGGAAAGCTCCAATTCGCGTTAATAACTATGAAATTGTATTTTTTTAATTGTCAAATGACGCTACTACAACTACAACTATATCCCAAAAATAGTTATTATTTTACCATGAATTTAGAAAATACGCTTTTCTGATTGGTCAATCCGAGGTTTCAAATTAGATAACCGCCTCAGGTTGAAACAGCTGATTTGAAGGCCTCGTCACCGCTGAAGATAATAGTAGACAGTTTAAACATTGTCAGTAGGAAAAAATTATCTGTGCAAATGTAGATTTTAGTAAACTTTACAGGAGACTTTTTGAATTAAATTATTGTAGAATTTCTGTCACTATTATATTCAAAGTTTTAGTGGCAAAACAATGTCTTTGGATAGAAAACATTATAGAAATCGACAAAGGGAGTGTTTTGCAAGGTTATTCTACCACATTAAAACATCTGGGTTGAGAAGAGTATACTGTTCACAGATGAGTCACTCTCTGATGGTCTAGCAAGGGTCATGGAGATCCAACTCATCATTGTTTATCGCTGTACTGCCTTGGTCGGCTGTTTCTCCAGACCTCTCCACCGTAGAACATGCCTGGGATGAGATGGAACTACGCCCACGACGGGACCAGAACCAGCCAGCTATGCTAGTTAGGCAAATCATTTGGTTGACATTTGGAACAACATGTCGAGGCTGTGCAGAATTCTACCTTGGCGTGTCTGGTTTCACCGTAAAAGTTGTTGTTTCAGCACGACACTGAAGGAACGTCATGCGCTCCTGGCAGCACGTCCGGGAACTACATCATGTACGCGAGAGCTACATCCGGGCTTCAACCTAATAACAACGCCTTCTCAACGTGTAGCATTGCTAAAATGGCGCCAATATTGGCGTCAAAGGCCAGATCAGCATCGGGCTGTTTTGTTGGTGAGACCCATTTTATCATATACGTCTACTGTATGACTTGTTATGCTTAAACACTATTTGTATCGGGTGGTGAGTGAGTGAGGGAGTTAGGTTTAACGCCGCGTGCGGCATGTCAGCTTAATATAGGAGGAAAGCCCGAAGTAATGCAGGTCTCAGATGTTCACCACTTCGGTGAAACCCACGAGCACGGGTATGGTTCTGACAAACCTATAAACATAATCGGGGCGAATCGGGGTTTGAACCCACAATCACAGGTTTCAAGCGCGCCCAAGGGACGCAACTCTGCACAGCGAATCGCGGCGCCTTAGACGACTGGACCACCCCTGTCCCCGTGGCGGTTGGCAGTCTAGTGGTTGAATCGTTGCTCGTTACATTGAAGGCCAGAGCTCAATTCCCCAGGTACAACATCTGAAGTCCATTTCTGGGGTCCACATCGTGATATTGCTGGAATATTTCTAAACTCAGCGTAACACCATGCTCACTCACTCATCTTTCAGAGCCGACGACTACTATCTGCACAACTAAGATGACAGGAGTGGCGTTAATCCAATATATTATACACACTATTTCGCTGGAGAGTTACGGTCGTTATTAAAGGGTTACATAAACGATTACTATGTTGTCCATCTTTCAGAGCCGAAGGGTTCTATCTGCGGCAACAAGGTGGTGGAGGGGGCGTTAATCCAATATATATCCAGACTATTTCGCTGGAGAGTTACGGTCGTGATTAAAGGGCTACATGAAGGATGACCATGTTGTCCATCTTTCAGAGCCGATGGGTTCCATCTGCGGCAACAAGGTGGTGGAGGGGGCCGAGGAGTGCGACTGTGGATGGGAGGAGGATTGTACTGAGGGGTGCTGCAACCCACAGACATCAGCTGCAGGGGCACCTACACCCTGCACCAAGACAGCCACGTCAGTCTGCAGGTGAGACCCCCAGTGTTCAGCCCCACCCCTGACCCCAACAACCACGCGTACCCTCACGTTCCTGTACCAACCCCCAAACACGTGGATGTCTGACTCATCACACAGACGCACCACACATCCACGATATCTTTCTTTTACCCCCGCGCCCACATCCTCCCGCACCCTCACCCACTTCCATATCCATTTCCACATTCACATCTACACGCACAACCACACCCACATCCTCACCCACCCACAACGACTGCCTCCGTGGTGTAGTGGTAGAACGTCCGCCCGGAGAGCGGAAGGTGTGGGGTTCGATCCCCGGCCGCGTCATACCAAAAGACGTTAAAAGATGGAACTTATTGTTACCCTGTCTGGCGCATTAAGGGGCTAAAACAAGGACTGGTCAGCTCGGAGTCAGTATACTGTGTCTGAGTGGGGTATTCATGTTAAACTGCGGCATGGTATCTCAGTGTGCTAGCACTACAAATCGGCATCAGTCCGGACTAGTACAAGCAGCCACACACACACGTGCATGCACGTCGCTATATAAGTGCAATAATCTTGGACGCGACGTTAAACTCATTTCACCTTACCTCACCTCTCTCTCACACACACACACACACACACACACGCACGCACGCACACGCACGCACGAACTATTGACACTGCACTGTTCATACTTTTTGTTATATTTTTGAAGTCTAGGAATATTAACCAGACCTGATATTGTGTGTGTTTTCAGCCCAAGCTCAGGTCCGTGTTGTGACTCCAGCTGCCAGTACGTCACTGCCGCCGCCAACCACGTCTGTCGTTCCAGTACCTCCTGTCTCGCGGAAGCGTCCTGCGAATATCCTTCTGTACATACCACAAGACATAACACAAAACATAACACAACACATTGGGGAGACGACATAGAAGATATCCCTAACATGTAAATTACACGACTTTATCGATACCAACCACAAAGATTTCGCGCATTTATTTGCCTATGCATTTAGACGTGAAAAGGGGGCACGGGTGGCCCAGTCGTCTTAGGCGCCGCGATTCACAGTGCAGAATTGCGTCCCTTGGGCACGCCAGAAACCTATGATTGTGGGTTCGAATCCCGATTCACCCCGATGATTCTAGGCGTGTCAGCACCATGCCCGTGTTCGTGGGTTTCACCGAAGTGGTAAACGTCTGAGACCTGCATCACTTCGGGATTTCCTCTGACACGCCGTGGTATAACTGGAATAATGTTAAAAGCGGCGTTAAACCGGACTCGCTCACTTAGACGTCTAAAGCCACATAAACCTTTCCGTTGTGGAATAATATTGAATACCAAGGCATAGGGAAGTGGATATTTAAAGCTTTCCATTTGTCGGGAACAGAATGACAGTGTCTTTTGTTGTTTTACGCCGCACTGGTCCAGACGTCGGCCTGTAAATAATCCGACCGTGGCCAGAAAAGCATATTGTGAGCAGCCATCCACGTCGTCGGGTAGCGCCACACAAATACTGCGTCAACGACTATGTCTGTGACTACGTTAAAGGCTTAATGACACCTGAATAGCCGTGAAGCGACAGATAAAGTCTCGCGTTTTGACAAGCACAAATATCTGGACTGTTTTTGTATATTTAATCCTTATTCATCTGAAGTATGGTTTTACGCCGGTTTTTTTTAGCAATATTCCAGCAATATCACGGCGGGGGACACCAGAAATGGGCTTCACACATTGTACCCATGTCGGGAATCGAACCCGAGTCTTCGGCGTGACGAGCGAACGATACACCTGAAGAAACCAGATAGATAGATAGATAGATAGATAGATAGATAGATAGATAGATAGATAGATAGATAGATAGATAGATAGATAGATAGATAGATAGATAGATAGATAGATAGATAGTCCAAAGATGAGCTGTATAATTTACGTCCTTGACCTACGCACTGGGACGTCCGCCAACTGTCCTACGTCAACATGGGTTGCCAACAAGACCCCCTGCGGTGAAAACCAAGTTTGTGTCAACGGTGTAAGTATACCATACAACATTAGATAGAGGAATACTGTTATCAACTTGAACACTATTTCCGTTTTCCTACTGGTTTAGTAGTACTCTTGCATCGAACGTATCGATAACATTAAACTGACTATGACCCTGATTGAAAATGTCTTCAACATTTTTCAGTGATACGTGACGTTGTTTGGTGAAATAGAGTTACGATACTACGTGCAAGGGGAAATCAACAAAATAAGTTTTGTCTAAATGCAAATAACCACATGAGTTTGATCTGACATCCCTGTAATTTCTCTCGGTTATGTAGACATGTTCTGGGTCTGTGTGCCTGGCGTTCGACTACCCGCCATGTCAATGTACGTCGACTACAGCAGGCAACTGGAAGGATGAGAGGCTGTGTCAGATCTGCTGCGAGGATGGCGGACAATGCAAGTAAGGAGTGAGTGAGTGGGTTTTAGCACCACTATGAACAATGTTTCAGTCATATTACGGCGTGTCGGCTAAAGTAAGTGAGAGTGTTAGGTTTAACGTCATTTAAAGCAATATTTCAGTTATATGACGGCGTGTCAGTTAAAGTAAGTGAGTGTGTCAGGTTTAACGTCACTTTAAGCAATATTTCAGTTATATGACGGCATGTCAGTTAAAGTAAGTGAGTGTGTTAGGTCTAACGTCACTTAAAGCAATAGTTCAGTTATATGACGGCGTGTCAGCTAAATTAAGTGAGAGTGTTAGGTTTAACGTCACTTAAAGCAATATTTCAGTTATATGACGGCGTGTCAGTTAAAGTAAGTGAGTGTGTTAGGTTTAAGTCACTTAAAGCAATATTTCAGTTATATGACGGCGTGTCAGCTAATGTAAGTGTGTGTGTCAGGTTTAAGTCACTTAAAGCAATATTTCAGTTATATGACGGCGTGTCAGCTAATGTAAGTGAGTGTGTCAGGTTTAAGCACTTAAAGCAATATTTCAGTTATATGACGGCGTGTCAGCTAAAGTAGGTGAGAGTGTTAGGTTTAACGTCACTTAAAGCAATATTTCAGTTATATGACGGCGTGTCAACTTAAATGAGTGTGTTAGATTTTACAACACTTTAAACAATATGACAGTTATCTCCCCTCGTGTTAGCTTGATGTGGAAATCGTAGATTTGATCGATAAAACCCGCAAGCACGGATACGGGTCAAAATAAGGACCTTGAAGCTTCGACCCACGACCAGCAGATCCTTGCGCGGAGAAGGGACGCAAGTCTGCAAAGCGATTCAACACTCCTTAAACCATCGGCCACCCGTGCCCCTCGGAGTGAGAAGAGGCCCCCAGGGGGTTCCTTTTTGTCAAGATTACGTTTGTTAGAAAACGCAATCAAAAACCATTTTTTAATCATATAACAAACAAACCACACGATTCCATTCCTTCGCAGACCGTCGTATGAAATTAGCGGCGTCCCCAATGGCAGCACCGTCCCCGGCAGCCCCTGTAACGACTTCCAGGGCTACTGCGACGTGTTCTACAGGTGCAGAGAGGTACGACGATGTAGTGACAGTTGTTTGTGTCAATATTTTCTTGTTGACGCCACTCTTGAAAACATTCCAGCTGTTAACGGCAGCATGTAAATGGTCGAGCCTGGACCAGACAATCCAGTGACTGATATGAATGATATGATGAGCAACGATCCACGCCTTCGGGGTCCGTTGACCCGCTATGTACCGAATCACCAAGCCTGACCACCCGATCCATCTTGTCGCCTCTTACAACTACCAATGGGGACCTATTCTTCCCACTGGTGATCATTGTAACATTGCTTATCTTGTAGGCATCGCTGGGTTCAACCAGCAGCCTGTGAAACTCGACGATACATGCCACTATGACGATATAATTATGTTAATAACGATATTTGTTATTATTGATTATTTATGTTATTTATGACGACATATGTTATTCATGATGATACACGTTATAACGACGGTAAATGTTATTAATGAAGATATTTGTTATTAACGTTTATATATGTTATTTAGGAGATAAACATACTGTGTTTTCAATGTAGAGCTTGGTTACCTGTAGATTAACCGCGCTAAATTGAATTTGAAACCTAAGCGCGGCCTGAGGTTTCAAATGTTAAATTTAGCGCGGTATACACAGTATGTATAACTCCATTCTAACATGACTAAATAAAACTTTGTAAGCTTATATGAGGTGGGCATCCCTAAAGAAAGCAAAGCAAGCTTTACAAAGTTTTTGTTCTCCACCGCACCAAGCTCCTTCCCAGCGCGTGACACCTTCGTTACACTCTCGGTAACATCGCTGCCATCAGTGTGGGCGCGGCCATGACAAGAATCTTGAAATTTGGCCTCTAACCCCAAATGTCGTAACGTTCATACTTTTGTTTATGTGTTTGGGAATGCTATTATAGTTAACTTTGAAAAGGTTTACAACTCACCATTTTGTCCAGATGAATTTACTTTGTTGTTTGTAACGTAACGTTACTTCAGGTGGATCCGACTGGAACGTTCAGTACTATAAAGAAGCTGTTGTCATCAGAGAATCTCCAGAGTCTGAAGGAATGGCTGATCGCGCACTGGTATGTGCCGGTGCTAGCAGGACTGGGATTCATCGTGCTCATGGTATGTCGGCACACGCACACACACACGCACGCACACGCACACGCACACACACGCACACACACGCGCACGCACACACACACACACGCACACACACACGCACACACACGCACACGCACGCACACACACGCACACACACACGTTGACCGTACACTTGTGTTTAAGTTTAAGAAGTGAGTTACAAGCATAACGAATTGCTTTGCTTCGGACGTTGTTCTTTGATGATCGACCATCGATATAATGAAAATTATTCTTAATATTTATTTTTTGATGTATTGATGTATTTCTGTGTTTATATATTTCTGTATTTATATATTTATGTATTTACGTACATGTATTTATGTATTAATGTATTTATGTTTTTCTTCTACAGGTGATATTTGTCAAGGTGTGCGGCAAGAAAGTACCGAGTGACAAGGAACTCTACGAGAGAAGGCAGCGTCGCTATGGAAACAATGCCATGCAACTGAGTCCAAGACATAAAACAAACAGCGTTGCGCCAACCGGCTACATGTGATCCTTTTGGGTCGTCAAAATATCTCCACACAAAATGAAACACTGAGTATTGTAAATATGCGACATACCAGGACGTTGTATATAGAATGTGTATGTATTTGTAGTGTGTCTACCGACAGGTACGAGGATTAGTGTTAGTTGTAAAACCAGACTGCATTATCCAAAACATTTAAGATAATTTGTCCAAATGACTCAAAACACTTTGTTTTGAAAAATGACACAATGGAACGAGGCGTTTTATCTTCACTTACAGTAAACTACGCTTATAACGAACACGCTTATAACGAAATGACGGATATAACGAACTGTTTTTTGGCCCGTCCATTTGCTACAATTATGCTGTATATGTGCTTATAACAAACTACGGTTATGACGAACTAAATTAAGTGATCCCTTTAAGTTCGTTTTAACCGTAGTTTACTGTGTAGTTACATCAGACTTAGAAAGAATTACTTTCAATTTATTTTGCCCCTTTTTTGTGTACCTGCTATCCGAGAAAACACAATTAAAAAAACAAAGCTCACAGAACACATTCCTGCAACAATTGGTATATCTACACATTCATATTCAAGCATCCGATAATGTCATCATATGCCATGAAAGTGATGGTGATGTTTCGACTTTTTACTGAGATTTAACGATGAATGTATGTCCAGGTTGGACACATTACGAATATCTGCTTACATTGGCACTTTTTGTGAATCTGAGAATCACCCTGATTATGTTTACGGTTTGTCAGTACCATACCCTTGCTCTTTATTTGCGAGTTTAGGTAAACATCTAAGACCTGCATTACTTCGGGTTTTCCTCCCACATCAAGCCCCACCGTAATATTACTGAGTACTGTCGGATGCCCTTTCTAGGACCCGTGTCTCTTTGTCTTTGTTTGTGTGTTTGATGAATTCTGAGAAGAATATTTGCATGTGCATTTTTATAATACATTTCGTATGTATTTATATTGATATATATTAATCAGATGATTTCCATATGGAATGATATGTGTACAACGTTTTACTTGTATGATTCTCTATATTTTTTATAAAATGTCGACAGCTCAATATTAATCTGTGATCATCTGTATATTATACACGTGCCTTGTGGCTGTACCGCTCAATCTCAATACAGGAGCGGGCGGGGTGATGTACATAATTAGGTGTGAATAAATTGTTACCACTTTTATTAGATTTCCATTTCATCTTATTTTTAAATGTTACCGTAGTGTATGTGGACAACCTAGAGTGATTTTATTACATCAACAAATTTATGTTACGTTCATGTTTTCTTAAATATTACATGTATATGATCTGATCATTAATTATCTTCACTGTTATCGTGATTTCCTCTATAAGTACTGGGACGCCGATGATGCGGAATATAATCGAATACACAAGTTTTTGTAGCTGCGGTATGGTCGCCACTTCAGTGTAATAATCTTGAAGGTCATGTTAATCTCCTTTTTCACATTTGCCCATTCGTCACAAGGCACCCAGGGGGCACGGGTGGCCCAGTCGTCTAAGGCGCCGCGATTCGCTGTGCAGAGTTGCGTCCCTTAGACACGCCAGAAACCTATGATTGTGGGTTCGAATCCCGGTTCGCCCCGATTATGTTTCTAGGTTTGTCAGCACCATACCCGTGCTCGTGGGTTTCAGCGAAGTTGTAAACGTCTGAGACCTGCATCACTTCGGGCTTTCCTCCCACATTAAGCTGACACGCCGCGATATAACTGGATTACTGTTAAAATCGGCGTTAAATCCAACTCACTCACTCACTCACAATGCACCCCTTTACATAAGCTGCAAGATTACTCGTTCCGCTGTCGATTAGTCATGTGCGACAGCACCACACACCAATCAGACTGTGAGACTGCATGTAGTGTAGATGTTAATATAGATATGATCATGTGCGGTGCGAGGTTTAAGTCCCCACACGTTAAGATAATAAACACGTACAGAATTTGACGTAATAAGCGCCCGGGGCGCTCTCAAAATTAGAAATAGGGGTCTCTTCTTGGAATATTATTTTGGTGAAAAAAACAGAGTTCGAAAGTTCGTAAATTTCCTGGTTTATGCTGACAACCTGAAATGTTTATATACGACATATATACGAAATTGTATATTCATACGACATATATATTTTCCAGTATTTAATTGCCCATAATTAAGGGTGCATATAACACACGAGTGTGTATTATACACGAATACATAAGTCTTGTGTACATTGATCGGAAGGGGTGCTAATTGAGATTGTTCACTAGCCAATATATTAGCAAATTTCGCCGGGCGCTAATTACGTCGAATACGGTAATTAAAGACAATGACAAAGAAGACATTCGTGTGGGCATGGGAAGCAAAAGAAAGTATAGTATTACTGAGTTTCGTCTGAAAGTTGAAATAACTGATGTTAAATAACACATTGGGTATGAACCATGAACTTTCGTCTGGTACGCTACACCACGAATTCTTCAGTATAAGATATATTCAGAAGTTGTTCTTGGGAAGGTTGGTTGGTTGGTTGGTTGTTTAACGCCGCACTCAGCTATATTCCAGCTATATGACAGCGGTCTATAATATAATCGAGTCTGGACCAGACAACCCAGTGATGAATATCATGAGCATCGAACCACGCAATTAGGATCGATGACATGCTTCAACCAAGTCAGCGAGCCTGACCACCCGATCCCGTAAGTCGCCTTTTACGACAAGCATAGTCACCTTTTACGGCAAGCATTGGTTGCTGAAGACCTTTTCTACCCCGGAATCTTCACGGGTCCTTTTGCAATGGAGAAGGGTATTTCCAAAGTTTCCTCACTAAAGTCGTCTCCATTGCCACAAGGGTCCCGATCACTTTCTCCGAGCACTCGGATAGTCGCGCAGACGACTGAAGTGCTTGTAAAATGTCACGCAAGCTGAGCCGAAACGATTGCAAAAGACAACATAAACACCAAGGAGTTAGGTATCAGTGCTGATGAAGTGAAGCTTCACAGTGATGTGATTTTTCCGCCTTTTCAAACACTGTCACAACAATGGAAAGAAGAGGTTGTGGGCTTCAATTGCTGAAGAGTAAGGGGACCGTAGCAAGTTTATTTTGATTGCATCAAGTTCAAGTTCAAGAGGTTTTATTGTACTTAACGTCTTAAGGCCTCAGGCCCATATACAAAACAAGAGTACAAGAGATAATATCCGTGAGTACAACCGCTGCATACAATACATATGTGGAGACAATGTTACAAAGTGAATGTACACAATTATTTTACGAAGTGACCTCACGATACTTTACGATTCTTGCGCCGAGAAAGTGCATGATGAACAAAAAGTGCTAACCTCAGAATTGTTTTTCTATCATTAGAATTCAACAGAGATTTACATGAATACAAATTTGACAAACGCAGGTATTTCGATGGAATATATGCTTCCCTTAAATCAGTATAAACAGTACAAACAAGCAGTATATGAAGTTCATCCTCTATACAAGTTTGACAGAAAGGACACAATCTCATTGGCTTCGGGACAGCATGATGTCGTCCAATGTTAACCATTATTTCAGACAATCCGAGACGAAATCTTGAATATGTAATGCGCAGATATTTGTGTGTTATAACATTTAAATACAATTCAAGTTCAATCAACGATTTAAAAGATCTATACATGACATATCTTGAACTGTTTTCAAGTGTCGATCTCCAATCCTGCTGAAACATATCGAGTGACTTTCTATGGAATAATCATAAAAAATCATGTTTATTACAAACACCTTGATACAACTACACATAACCGAAACCGTGATAAAATAGCATATAACGAATATCTGTGGCCCATGTTGTGTACCCATGATTGTCCAGATTAAGTAGCATTTTGAATGCTTTTCTAGGCAGGCGGTCTTCGTGCATTTCTAAAATTTTAACCAGTATTTTAAACAACGAATATATGCATTAATGTACATCGGATATCTTCCACATTCGCCATATGCCATACAGTCTGGATTGTTTATTCCTGTCTTCAAAAACTTTTTACATGCATATAAATGTATTTTCTCTATTGGTTCATATTTTTTAAAACCCCAAAGTTCTGAGCCGTATAAAAGGATAGACTGTATTTGGGCATCAAATAGCTTAAAATAAACTCTAGGTGATACAGGTTCTAATATAGATACAGTGGTAAGTAACATGACAATGGGATGGGAACGCTTAGTGTAGGGTCTTACTTCCTTTAGAATTACAAAGAAAGCTGCTCTTGGCATTCTGTACCCAGCAATGAGATCGTCAGATGTCGTGTCCAGTTGCAATATTCTTTCTCTTTTGATCGGATTATTTTTTCATTCTTCATTCAATATGAGAATACTTGTGACTAAGGTGTCCATATCATATATTGAATCCTTGCTGACATTATCATTATTGTTGGTCCATTATTATTGTTTTCCATATATAATTAAAACACAGCTAATCAAAATAACTTCAAGCAAAAATCTTTCCCTAATACCATAAGATAGATTACTACCACTAAAGGTATAGGTTAATGTTCATAAATGTGTTGTTTGTTTGCTGCTAGAGCTAGAGCTTATTGTCTGTTACTATGTATTATCAAAAGCTCACGTGACTATTTATTTGGCCCTTTAATATCATGGCCATACATTGACAATAATGTGTAGGTCCACGCGACCAAATTATTATCATCTGCGCACAGGTCCTCAGGTCACAAACCTAAACCAGACAAATTCGAATTTTTCCGACTTTTTGACATTGATTCGTCCACCGACGAGATATACATTCACCCGCCTCTGCTGTCAACAGCACATGCAGTGATTGCATCAGTATCGGAAGTGAACTGGCACAGGTAAAACCTACAAAACGGACTTAAAAACCCGTTTGTTCTGTGCCACATTCTGTATCTTGTCCTGTTTGTTTTGCTGGTCCTTTTCAACTTGACAGTCGGGAAAGTAATAAGGCCAAACCCCTACCTCCAACTGACAATCCTTCTGTTCTTGATGACATTTTGTCGATCTCCGTTGTCCAGTTGTACAGACCCCACCACCAATCTCCAAGCAAGGCTAATCCAATTGGTTCTTTATTGGGTGAGCATCTCTCTCCACAAATTATAAAAGATGCCAAGTCCTTCGCTAGTCAGTACAATGATAACGAATACATTTCAGAAATCAATTCAGAACTTTGGCTCTAATCTCGAAATTCAACACTAAATTCTTTTCTCAGCCAAATCACTTCTTCTCCAGGCAACCACTACCTCCTCACTCGCCCCGTCAAATCAATATACAAACTTTCTGTCCCTTCTCATATTTCGCCCTTTGCATTTCTACAAGACTAAAAGAAATTATGCTGACGATGTCTTGGGGCACTGTAGTCCGTCAGGTGGGTATCACACCATAACCTCTTTGATTGCAGACCTCAACACACCGTAAGCACACTTATCTTCGGGTGTGTTGTGGCCCGTGAAGAGGCCGGGGTAGAAAGGATCTTCAGCAACCCATACTTGCCGTAAAAGGTGACTATGCTTGTCGTAAAAGGCGACTAACAGGATCGGGTGGTCAGGCTCGTTGATTTGGTTGATACATGTCATTGATCCGAATTGCGTGGATCGATGCGCATGATATCAATCACTGGATTGTCTGGTCCAGACTCGATTATTTACAGACCGCCGTCATATAGCTGGAATATTGCTGAGTGCGGCGTTAAACAACAAACCAACCAATAAGGTGTGTTGTGCAAGGTCTTTGACAAAGAACAAGTCCTCGGGAGGAAGCACCAGATCAAAGCCAACCGTGCTATCTGGATCCGACAACCAGTCACAGGCAGACCTGTTTCGTCACCCTTGCGCAACCTCTCCAAATCTTCCACTCCTCAGTTTAACTCTCCTCTAGAAGCAGCCCTGTCGCACACCTTACATCAAGATTCAAAATAAATACGAGGCAGTGGAACGATTAAAGATGTCCGTTACCGCTGCGATTAAGGAGGTATTAGATGATGTGGACGATGACATCCAGCCAGTCTCGTGTGCTTTTTTGTTCAGCATCCAATACCAGGCGGAAACAGATATGTAGTGGCTGTGGTGCAAGGGAACGTCTTTCCCAAGCACCGAGAAAGCACTACCTGAATCAGTGTCCTTTAACAACTGACAGAGGAGCGGACAGTAGTCACGAGGGTCCAAAGGAACTTCAGCAACCCATGCTTG